AGGAACAATCTGAGTAAGTTGCAGCCCAGGGATCCTTACTTAGAGAGGCCACCATCCCAGAATTTTCTGCCATGACCTCACGGTACAGGTCCTGCTGTCCTGCATCCAGCAGCATCCATTCCTCGTCGGTAAAATGCACGGCCACATCTTCAAAACTCAGAAGCTCCTATGAAACGGACAAATGACATCTACATTTATTCCTATTATTATTATTATTATTATTATTATTATTATTATTATTATTATTGGATTTTTCCTTTTGACATATCTCAATTGCACATTAAACAGTACAGTGACATCATTTATACAACTACATTTCATGTCCGGTATAATCTGTACATTCTATTTCTATTACCTTCTACGTCTATTGTTATACATTTCCTTTTCTTACTTCTATTATCTATACGGTTGTACCATTTCTCCCATATTGCATAACATTCAGAATCCTCTTTTCCCTTTAATTCTATAGTCAATTTATCCATTTCCATGCACTCATTTTTTTTTTTAATTACTAGACCTTCGGATGGCGTGCAGTCTTTCTTCCAACATTGCAGAAAGACAATTGTGATGACCTGGGGCGTGGCACAAAGGCAACACGGTCACATGAGTAAGAAAAGTCCCTTTAATACCTCCAACTTTGCCCTCAATATCCAGTTACCTTTGGCTAGAGAAAAAGCTCTCCCCAAGAACAGTCTTTAAGCAGAGAAATTTCAGTCCGAAAACAAAGGACACATACTGTAAATAAAAATCCACACAAACCACGCTGCAGCAATTAACTGGACAGGGCAGGATAAGGAATTGCAGACTTCAAAGGCCAACAAAACACACACAGTTGGGAAGATGCCAGGAACCCAGATAAGCCTCGGCAATAAAAGATAACGCACGATTTGCTTCCCACAAGTTGTTGTGCGCAACCTCCCTTTTTAAACACTGTGCTCCCAGCTGCAGCTAATGAAGGGAATCAGGGCCCTTTCCTTCCCCGTAAGCCACACAACTCATGTTGCTCCCTTCTCCGTTCCTCCCCGTGTGCCCTAGGATGAAGAGGGGGTGAGTCTGGGTCTTCCTCTGAATTCCCTCTCCCCTGCTCTACCTCTCCCCTGCTCTGCCCAGCCGGACTTTGCCCTTCCCCAGTTTCTTCCACAGCCAATGGAGCCACACTCCCACTCTCTGCCAGGAGCTCAGCCTCCCCCTCAGAATCAGATTCCGACAGGGGCATGACAGCGATTGTTGCTGCTATTATTATATGTAACACCATATATTTTGTCCTTTTATTGAATTTCCCTTTAATTATCCCTAGGAGAAATAATTCCGGAGCATTATTCTATTTGACTGCCTGTTAATTCCTGTAACCACTTTTGTATTTTCTTCCAATATTTTTTCGCTTCAGGGCATATCTACCATTTCCAACAGTTTGGATTTGAATTTGGGTGAATCTTAGCCAGCCTTGTGGGCGCCAAGTGCCAGCGATAAAATATTTTGTGTTGGTTTTCTTTATGAGCTGCCAATTTTGTTATTTTGTAATTTATATTCCAAATTTTTTTCCCACTCCTCTAGCTCAATACTGTACCCAAAATTTTTGGACCATGCTATCATTGACCTGTGGTTTCTGTGGTATAGTGGTTACATTTGCCTAACACGCAAAAGTCCCTAGTTCGAAACTGGGCAGAAACACATCTTTATCAAGATCAAGTGAGGTACTACTACCACTCTATAAAGCCTTAGTAAGACCACTCCTAGAATACTGCATCCAGTTTTGGTCACCACACTGTAAAAAAGAGGTTGAGACTCTAGAAAAAGTACAGAGAAGAGCAACCAGGATGATTAGAGGACTCGAGACTAAAACATATGAAGAACGGTCACAGGAACTGGGCATGGCTAGTCTAGTGAAGAGAAGGACCAGGAGAGACATGATAGCCGTCTTCCAATATTTGAGGGGCTGCCACAGAGAGGAAGGGGCCAAGCTATTTCCCAAAGCACCTGTAGGCCAGACAAGGAATAATGGATGGAAACTGAACAAGGAGAGATTTAACCTGGAAATAAGGAGAAACTTTCTGACAGATGGCAGTCCAATCTCTTCTTGAAAGTCTCAAGTGATGGCGCTCACACAACTTCCGAGGGCAAGCTGCTCCATTGGTTGATTGTTCTCACTGTCAGAAATGGTGTAGGGTCTCCTGCTTGGGCAGGGGGTTGGACTAGATGACTTACCAGTTCCCTTCCAACTCTGATTCTCTCTCTGTCTGCATAATTGTAAGAAGCCAGACCATTTGAATGACCAATCAACAAGCAAACCAATCAGCTGCTCAGAATTTAGACATCGCTCCAAACAAACAACCAATCACACAACCAACTGGCCACACAAAACGTTTATAGGCTAATGAGGTGTTGTGACTACGGGAGTTTTTGAAACTGTTGGCTTTAAATCTCAGAGTCTTATCTTGTTCCCGGACCTTCAGCATTAATTAGGAAAATTTACCAGAACTGTGGGATGTTTCAATCAGGGTTTATTCAAGAAGCTGACACACCCCCAGGTCATAAAAGGAAGCGTGTCAGCCCTCAAGCTTTGTTCGGGTCAAACTGTTTAATTTGTTACAAACTGTTACCAACTCTGTTACAAACTGAGAAAACTGGGAACCTGTTATGACTGTGATACTTGTTCTAACGTGCTGTTAAACTGTGAGTTTTTGGAAGAGGTATTTGGCTCTTTCTGCTATTACTGTGAGAGTCATTCTGTTAAGTTTGCTATCTCGTGATCCTATTATCTGGTCGTCTTGTGAATATATTATTCTGGGAGAACTGCTAATGAAGGAATGAAATAAACTTCAAAGGTGTTTTTACTATCTGGTCTGGCGGTGAGTTTCTTGGGAGAGCTGCCAATGACATTTTATTGCCAGAATGAACTTCGGCTTTTGAGTCCATGTGTTTTATAGTTTGTTTGCTGTGGCATTCTAGTCTCTCACTCTGTGGCTTGGGATGGGACAGAACAATGAGGTATAGGACAAGAAAATCTCTCTGATAATGTCACCTAGTCTGGTAACAAAACATTCATAAATGAAATTGAAACAGGTGTGGAGAGCAAACCACTGCCAGAAACATTACCCACCATCCATGAGCTGCAACAGAATAGCCACGACTCATGACGTGATTTTATAGGAGAACAAGCCTTTTGATGCAATGTCTTCTCCCTTTTTTTTTCTGCCCTAATTTCCATTTTTTTTTGCAAAATCCTAAAATTCAGTGGAATGAGGCTTGAAAAACCCTGCTCTAAAACTTCTCATCTCCCATGAGTATAACAACAACGATGATGATGATGATGTCAGGATTCCAGCAATCGCCCTAATTAAATCAGGATTCTCGAGCCAAACTTCAAAAAACTTCAAAGGATTCATTAGAGGCGACATACCGACATTGCCCTGTATGAAGCCAACTCTGGCATAAATAATTTACCGTCCCCTATGACCCTGTTTCCCCCCTTCCCCCTTGGTGTCTCATAAACCAGATCCTCCAATTGATCCTCCATGTTCATGGGATGTGTGTCATCAATCACGTTCTCCAATTAAACATATTCGTGGGCAAAAACGCTGGTATTTTAGTTACAATCTTTTAAAGATAAGAGTTGGAATGTATTGTCGCTTCCAAACTGCTGCACTGCTCTTCAAGATTTCCTTCCTCTCCCCCCTCTTTTTTATGGAAACTACTAAAACAGGCATAGGAATGTTTTATGAGTTGACAAATAATAATAGTTCTACCTGGCTGAGTGGCCTAGCAGTCATTCCTCGGTCACTAGAGAAACTCCCTGGTTCCAAGGATGTCTGAAGAAGCTCCGTGGCATCTAAGAAGAAAGCAGATTTTTCATACGCATTGACATTCATCTATACATAACATTTCTCTTCCGTGGGGGGAAACACATAGTGGAGGTTATTAAAAAGCTCTATTGAACTTGAATGCTCTCGCATGGGGATGCTGCAACGGTCTTGTGTGAAACAAATGGTCATGTCCGTTTTTAGTGCCCCGGTAACTTTGAACGGTCGTAAGTCAAGGACTACATGTGTTATGCGAAGGAAGGCTTCAGTTGGATAAGGAGCCTCTGCCGCTGGTCTTGCTCTCAGAAATGGCAGATCTCCTGCCTAAAAAAGACAAACCAGGAAATGTTAAACTTCCAGTGCTCTGAAGCAGTGGTCACCAACCAGTGGGCTGGGGACCACTGGTGGTGCGCAAGGAAATTTGGGTGGTCCACAGAGAAATGTCACCCCCAAAGCAATTAATCCAGGCTGCACGGGAACACAAGGCTGTGCTGCCCACATGGCCTACAGGAACACGAGTTTGTGTCACTTGCATTGCGAACAACACGAGGTAGTGATGGGAGGGGAGGAAAGGGAGGAGGGGGGGAACTTGCCCCACTCACCCCACACACCTCGCCTGGCCACCGGGCTGCTTCTTTCTGCTTCTGTTTTTGGCTGCACGCAAGGAAAGCAGCAAAAGTCTTTCTTCCTTTCCCCCAAACTCCACCAGAAATGAGTCTTTGGGACCCTGCAAGGCATCCTGGTCCAAGAGGCTGCACTGGCGCAACACATCTCACAAAGACTCATTTCTTTCAGAATTTGGGGGAGAGAAAGAAAGACTTCTGCTGCTTTCCTTGCATGAAGCCAAAAGTCTCTCTCTCACCCCCTGAGAACGGAGCCGGAGACGGTATCCTGTGATCCCAAATAAAGAATGATCGATCAGTAGGAAAACGGGGTGGAGTCTGACTGACTTTTTTGGGGGGGGGTATTGCTGTTCTCTCCTCTCTTCCCCCCCCAACCCAAAACTTTCATTCACGAGCCCCAGGAGACCCCTTGCATTTCCTCCTCCCCAAAGCCACCTCACAACCAGCCCCGGTTGCTGCAGCGAAGAAGGAAACACACCTGCATCCCCAGGTCCGCTGGATTTTGTCGCTTGGGAATGCGCGTCAGCAAGCACAATGAAGAGCTGGGATTTTGTTGCTTCCACACGTTCTGGTGGAAGTTTCCGCAAAGAGTCTGCAACAGCCAGGGCAAAAGTTGCGTATTCGTCATTGCGACAGCTGTTATTATCGGGGCTCCGTGGCGACAGCATTGCAGTATGAAGTTGCTCCCAGCATAGAGTGACCAAAGTGTCCAGTATCTTGTCCTTTCCCATCATCTTCCTCCTCTTTCTTGATTGGGGAACTGGTGGTTTTATGGGCGACCCAGTGAACATACTGGTTGAACTCTCCTCGTCCTCATCACTACTGTTCAGTGAGAAGGAACCCGAGTGCCTGGATGCAGGGTGTGATGTGAATGAGATTTCCTCCATATTCAAGGCTGAATCCAAGGAGTCTTGCTCTAGATGACCTGTCGTGACATCCTCTGGCTGTAATTATATAAGTAGAGTAGAGTAGAGTAGAGTAGAGTAGAGTAGAGTAGAGTAGAGTAGGATAGGATAGGATAGAATAGAATAGAATAGAATAGAATAGAATAGAATAGAATAGAATAGAACAGAACTCTTTATTGGCCAAGTGTGATTGGACACATAAGGAATTTGTCTTTGGTGCATATGCTCCCAGTGTACATAAAGAAAAAAATACAATACTGTCATGCCCTGTCTGAGTCTGAATCCGTAGAGGAAGACGAACAGCTGACAGGGAGTGGGAGTGTGGCTCCGTTGGCTGTGGAGGAAACTGGGTAAGAACAAAGTCTGGCTGGGCAGATCAGGGAAGAGGTAGAACAAGGGAGAGGGAGTTCAGAGGAAGACCGGGGCTCACACCCTTTTCATCCTAGGGCACGCAGGGAGGAACGGAGAAGAGAGCAACGTGAGTTGTGTGGCTTATGGGGGAGGAAAGGGCCCTGATTCCCTTCATTAGCCACCCCTGGGAAGAGAGTTTAAAAGAGATGAATGCTGAGTGCTGCATCTGCTGGGAACAAACGTGAGTTTATCTTGTGTTGACTTTGGTTATCTGTGTTCCTGGCATCCTCCCGTGTTGAATTACGGCCGTTCCTTCATGTCTGGAATTCCTTCTCCTGCCCTGCCGAACTAATTACCTCATCTTGCCTTGACTGGACTTATAGTTACAGTTTTTGTTGACCACATTTTGGACTTGATTCTCTGCAGCCAAAGCTGTTCCTGGGAGAGTTTTTCTCTAGCCAGAAGGTAAACAGGACATTGGGGGCAAAATTGGAGCTAATAAAGGGACTGATTATCTGACTGTTGACTTTGTGCCATGCCCAGAATCAACACAAATACACTCCTCATGAATCATAAGATACAACACTTAGTGATAGTCATAGGTTACTAATAAGCAATCAGATCATACTAGGGAACAAATAAAACAATATAAATTGTAAAGATACAAGCAACACGGTTATAGTCATAAGTGGGAAGAGATAAGTACTAGGAAGGATGAGAAGAATAATAGTAATACAGCTTTAGTAAATAATTTGACAGTGTTGAGGGAATTAGTTGTTTAGCAGCATGATGGCATTTGGGAAAAAACTGTCCTTGTGTCTTGTTGTTCTGGTGTGCAGTGCCCTATAGCAGGGGTCCTCAACCACCGGGCCGCGGACCGGTCCTGGTCCATGGAGCACTCTGTACCGGGCCGCAAATAAAAAAAAAAATGGCGGCTTTCTTCGCCTTCGGTGAATGCTGCTGGGATCGGGGATCAAGGACACAAATGAAAGAAGGGGAGGGAGGAAGCAACCGAAGCCTGTCCTGCTCTCTGGCTCAGCAGCTTCGGTTTCCTCCTGCCTCGTTCCTCTCTCAGTCGCTCTCTCGCTGCTCCACCAGCCCAGGAAGAAACTGCTTCAAAGAAGCCGGGGTGCTGGTGGTGGCTTTTCCTGTCGCCGCAGCTCCTCCGAAGCGCCCGTTCACCCCCACCCCACCCGCCCACGCGCGCTTCAATTCAGTGCTCCGTTCTGCCTGCCTGTCTGGTTGTTTGGGAGCAGCTTCAGCTGAGAATAATAACTATTCGCCTCTTTTTATCAGCCGAAGCTGCTCCAAAACAAAGGCAGGCAGGCAGGCAGAACGGAGCACTGGGTTGAACCGCGCGCGGGCGGGCGGGGTGGGGGTGGACGGGCGCTTTGGAGGAGCTGCGGCGACAG